GTTTTTTTTTATTTTCAATAAATAGATAATTATGAACATTTTTGACTATTGTATAAAATTTTTTCTCGTCCAAGTCAAATTAATCGATCGATCTCGGAGGAGATTCGTTTTTTTTTTATTATTATCAACACGATGAATATCGGAAAACGTAAACTTTTTTCTATAAATGATGAGCCACTATCATTATCATCTTCACCAACAAAAAAACGTTTTTTACAATTTATGTAAGTTTTAAAGAAACTGAGCGAATTCAATTTAACCAATAAAAAACTTGGTTTTCGTTTTTTTTCTTCTCCTTCTTTAGGCCATTTAATCTAAAATCATCTTTCGTTCAATCTGATATTTGTTATCTTAGTCAAATACCAACTGAAATGCGTGATTTAATTTTATTAAAATTATCACGTTTGTTTCTTTTTTTTTGTATATTTAATAAGATTATTTATTTATTTATTTTTATTATTGCAGCACATGAACTTCATCAATTAGCTAGTACAAGTAATGAATATTTTTCTATTGTATTAAATTTTCTACGATCATCAATGGGTACTCCTTATCTGAAATATATATTGGAAACAACACCAGATCGTCGACGATCAGGTGCTTGGGAAAATCTTGGTAAGCAAAAAACAAAACAATGAAATAAATTTTAATATTGAAAAATAATGTTAGGTCGATTATATGGTTTAATGACAAGTCTTGTACCACTTTTGCGTCGAATACAAATTATTAAAGATGTACTTTTTACAAAGGTAAGAATTTCGGTTGAAAGTTTCTAACATAAGTCAGTATTCATCGATGAGGTAAAGCACACTAACTATTAACCTCTATTTGGACTTACAGGGTCTCGATAGAGGAGGAATCTTATTATTCGATTTTTCGGTAAAAATTTGACTGTGAGTTGAAAACTCATCTAAAGGCCCATGGAAACAAACACTTTATAAATGAACTATGATGTGTTACTTCTTTTGAATCTCTCAAGAAACAGTTGGAGTCAAAATTAGCTTTACAACTTAACAGGACTCGATTTTTCGATTTCCTCCTACCTTGTGTTGCTAGAAAATTTCTCCGATGAAATACCGGAACCCTAACGAGGGGAGGGTGAAGTGGATTCAGAACGGTTAGTTTTTTCTATAAGCATTAATGGAGAAATCTGGAATGCACGAAAACATAAAAACCTTTATTTTCCTATATGGTGGTTCAGAAAAGCCTAGATAATATCCTTAAATCTCATCATAAAATCAATAAACTATAGTGCATTCGAGAGTAGACACTTTGTTCTATCCAACGAGCTATAAATCATAAAATTAGCCTTTTCCGAGGGAGCTCTCTTAAATGACCTCAGGTGAACTAATTTTCGACTTGAAATATTGTACAGAGACTGCCCTTAGCGAGAGTAGTTCATCGTGAAAGTTTTTGGCTTTTTTAGTTACTTTCATCCCTCCCAAAAAGAATAGCAAATCTACCCTTAGGGTATTCATCGGGCGTAAACAATGTTTGAACCATAAAAAAGCGGTCCGATTTTGAGCCCTGCTATGAGGACATGTTTTTACCATAACTGTCTTTGCGCCATGGTTTGAGTCGAAATCGATTTTTACCTGAGAGGACTACAGTATTGGATTAAAACCTACCGTAAAAGTGCAGTATTTCGACAGTCATAAGCTAAGGTTCTGAACTGTTTTCACGATATTCATAGCTTATTTAGGTCTATACAATGTGCACAGTCCTAACTCAAAAGCAATTAATCAGTTGGGAGGCCATCCTTCTCAGTCAGGATATGAAAAAAGATCTCTAATGTTAGCACAGATGCCGATTTGTACTAACGACTTCTTTCAACTTGACTCTTGTATTCTTGTCTTCTTTTTTTTTTTTTTACATAGTTAAACTTATTGGGTGATGGCACATCTATTGAAGATTTATCTCATATTGGTCGATTTTTTGGTGAAGCAACAAGACATTGGTCCGAACGAGAAATTGCTTGGGCATTTTCTCAATTAGATTCACATATACAATTAAAGAAAAAAATTGATCGATTTTATTCATGTGAACATGGTAGATTTGTTATTTAGATTATTATTTGAAAATATTTCTTTATTGTTTTTGTTTTTTATTAGTTGGTATTGAAACTCAATTTGAACATTCAATACGTTTTTGTTTTCGTTTGGTTTATTTTGATTCAATTCGACTTCATGCACATCGTGGTTGTTTATTAAATGTTATTCTTTATAAACAACCAATTTGGTTTCAAGCACGACTTATTTATTTATTATTTGGACCAATGTCATTAAGTAAAAAATCAAAAATAAAATATTTAATTTAATTTAATTTAATTTAATTTTAAGATAAAATTGATTGGGAAAAATTTTCTCGTGATCGAACAAATTTTTTTATTTATCCAAATGTTGATGAAGAACAAGCTTATTTTGATTTAAGTCGTGCTTTTAATGTACTTAATCGATCAGTACATGCTCAAAAAGGATGGAATAGTAATAGTAAACTTGCTTTATTAAATGAACTTATTGGTAATAAAAAAAAAGAATTTCGATATGTATTACATAAAAAAAACAATTGTTTTATCTTAATTTTAGCACAACCAGTACCATGGAAATCTGAATATGTCGCTGAATTATTATTCTATTGTGGTAGAGAATTATTAACAAATGTATTAATTGCTTTTGCTGTAAGTTAGAATCGGACAAATCTAGAATTAAATTCTTGATTCTAAATCAGATTGAACATAATGAAGGAAGACTGACTTAAAAGGCTATTAGCATGATTCTCAACCCAAAACCTTGATTTACATAAGCATACGTCCTTCGAGAGTGTGTATCAATCAAACTTTGATTATATTTAATTTTCTACCCATTCGGAAAAATCATGGATTAGATCCTTTCAAGTCTCTTGATAGTCTTAGTTGGAACCAAATCAGGCCCTTATGAAACACGATCTGAAGTTAGAGCTCATTGGGTCCAAGGATTTTTGGACCCACTACAGATCGTGACAGGCGCCCTCGTTGAGTCATACAAAAGCTTTACACGTTGAGATGAGTACGACCAATGATTTTTAGTCCTGATTCCCGCCGATATCGGAATCATCTTGTCAGTCTCACACTGTTCATTCATTCTATTCTGCATCATCCACGAAACTTTAGATTATTGTGTTTTTTATTTAGATAAAAAATTATCATAAAGAATATGCACAATTAATTAATTCATTATGTATAGTAAGTTATTAAAAAGTCTAAAGATGAGATTATTTAAATTCTTTAAATGTAGGTTGCTCGTCAACGTAAAGCATATTATGAAATAATTCAAATGGCTATTGACGATTCATTTGAACGATGTACACTTATTGCACAACGAAATTCAATTATTATTCATTTACAAAATGCATTTCGTTGTGTGACAAGAAATGTAATAGCTGTTCTTGGTAAGATAAATTTTTCAAAAATTATTTGAATTTTTCTGTTTTTTTTTTTTTTAAGCATCATCAACAATAACACAAACAGATCAATTACATTATTTACAACAACTTGAAGCATTAGATGCACAAAAAGCATCACTTATTTCATTTCTTTTAACAAATCAATTTGATCAGAACAATTAAATAAATATTTCTCTTTTTATTTATTTATTTATTTTGTACACATTTAGATGTATTTATTTATAATTGTTTTTTTTTATTGTATACACATAAAAGATTTATTTTTCATTCTGTTATTATTATTTGTATATAATTGAAAATTTTGATGAACGAAAAAAAAAAAACAAAACATGTTATTTTATTTTTAAGTAATTGTCTTTATTTTTTTTGTTGTTGTACTTTTTGCATAACTACAAGAAGTTTGTTTTTAAGCGTTATGAACAGAATAAATAAAATCAATCATATGACCAAAACGTCAATAAAAAAAAATATTAGTAGATGATGATTATTATTAAAGAAAAATAGTCATTATGAAATTGCATTTTATAGATTATGGTAAGTGCGTATGACATTGATTAATTATAATAATCAACAACTGGCATAATACATGTGAACAGGGTGAGAATGTGGTTCTAGGGATAGAGAAGAACTACATCCACATTCTTTTGTCCTCTCTCATTTTTAACTTCAAGATGAGGATCTTATAAAAAGTGCTTAGCCTACCGTAGAATGAAAACGTTCTAACGTCTATGAATTTAGATATTTAACTTTTCTACTTACGAGAAAAAGTCCCCAAGTGATTTATCACTTTTAAGTCTAAACTATCTGCATCATGTCAGTAGTGTAGAACTCGTTAAGTCGTAACGACTTTTCAACTATTCGGGTGTGAGTGTGGGTGTGGGTGTCCTTTTCATCAACACGCACACCCACGCCCGCCACCCACACTCTACCCTACATCCCATACCCACCTACACCCATACCCATAGCCCACACCCACACCCATAACCCATACCCATAGCCCACACCCACAGCCATACCCATAGGCCACACCCCAACTATTGAATAGTTGAATTTACGACTATTCAACTATTGAATAGTTGAATAGTCGAATTTACGACTATTCAACTATTGAATGGTTGAATAGTCCAATTTACGACTATTCAACTAATGAATGGTTGAATAGTCGAATTTACGACTATTCGAGTTTTACATGTATGAAAAATTTCATTCATGATAATCAATGAGAAAGTGAAACTCCAATCATATGACAGGTACGAATTGAAAAAAAGAAAAATGACGATATACGAAAAATAAGTCATAATTTCTATTTGTGCTTTACTATGTGTAAATAGTAATGATCAAAGCATTGTAGACAGTCTAAAGTGCTTGTCATGCGCACATAATATATTTTTTCTCCTGTATGTGTTGCTACGTATTCCTGCTTGTTCTTGAGCAATATTAGCAGATGTGTGCGCATGTCATATTTTTTTTCATTGCAAAAGAATCGACAAAAGCAAAACTTTTCTCTTAGTTTTTTTTTCTCTACAGTATTATGTGTGTTGACATTTAAGATGAAAAACATGCTGTGGTATGCTCTCGTCGTTACCTTGTTATTAGTGATCAGAAATGGACAAGCAGAAGAAACAAAGATTATAGATGGAAATGATGGTATACGTTCAATTTCAAGTGGATTATCATATGGAAAATGTGGCGGATATTGTAGTCAATCGATTAATATAACAAAAGTTCCGTCTGAATTAGTCGCATTGAAAGGACCTAATGGGGATCGTGTACAATATCCAACTATTCAACGAAAATTCTGTTTCAATTCAGTTGAATGGCAAGAACTTATTGCTCTTCTCGACCTAGAAAAATTTAAAATGTTAGATGAGATTCAAGGATGTCCTGGTTGTGCAGATGGTGGTATAGAATGGATTCAAGTTGACTGGTCAAAGGAAAGTAAACGTGTAACATTCGAATATGAAGCATTAATCGCTGGTATTGAAGAACTTATTAAATATTGGCGCGTACTTAGAGAGAAATATTTCAAATATTTATGAAATAAAAATAAATAAATGATCATGAAATTGATCAAAACGATAGAAGTTTACATCGATATGTTGAACATTTGAATTTACAATCATTATGAATACAGAGAGGATGCGGACATGTGCGAAAAAGTTTCACAATCGAAAATTATTTGTTTTGTTCATTTCTAGTCGCAATATAGCAACAAAGTATCTTGAACACCTCCTAGTCCGTTAAAAATAAATACGAGTTTTCTGATGACAAGTCTTCTACTAAATCTCGAATTCAAAACAATCAGGAGGTGGATGTGGCATAAAAAAATGACATACACCAACACCTTCCCTCAGAACTATTCTACACAGAGATCATTGTACTTCTTTGAAACGTTTACAGAGCCAAATATAAATTCTGCGATAGCATTTATAATCTATGTCAGATTCAGGAGTTTGAAAGCATCGTCGTTCGATACGCAGTATAGTATCGTGATCGGGTTCGATTGCCGAATCTTCTGTCCGTAAAGAGTTATACAAAGCGGTCTGACGTTTTGACAAACTCTCTCGTAGAAACGAGCTGCTCAGTCGGCGTTATCAGCATGTTTTCTTTAATTATTCACGTTGAGATTGCAGCTGTCGTTCATAGTGAACAATAAGTATGGCTCATTCATTTCTTCATGATCATCTCATTTTGTCTTCTAGACAGTACTGAGTCCATTCTACACGACTCATTAATGGCACCAAATGTAACATGATCATATAATCCATATGAATGTTTCTTCTGCCAAGTATTTCATCGTGAGAGTCTTCTTCGAGGAGACCATTTGAAAGATTCACGAAGTGGCGACCATATTCAACAATATATCAATCGATAGCACCTTTTTTGTTTTGCATCACGGCCATACAATCTATTCGTCACTGCTGGAAAATGTCAAAATTATATATATGTGCTTTTAGAAGAATGACAGTTATAACCAAATATGAATTAGTGAGACATTCATCTTCTTAAAGTTTCGTAAGAACATGATCAATTACGCATGATAAACTGGATAGATTTTAAATTTTTATATTACTTTAAATCCATCATTGCATCAAAAAAACTTATTCTCGAAACAATACCTATGGAACCTAGCCTTCTTACTGAATATTATCGAAATTTTACTTCTTTGGAAGTGTTCAATTTCGATCAAAAGATATTTTCCTATTATTTTACACGTAAGCATTTAACATATATTCTTAGTTGTCTAAAGATCAAAATACAAAAAAAAACATTTCATTGCATTGTTTCCTTTTTTTTGCTCATAGATGATTCAATCTTTTGACGTATTTTTAAACATCAGATAACAGATCTTATTCTTCATAATAATGATGAATATACTAATGAACCATCTTTGAAGACTAATGCTAGAAATTTCTATACACATATCATGGTGTTCTTCGAAAATCTACAGCATTTGACAATTGTTTATTAAAAGCCTATTTCTCTACGACTCTAACTCTATTATGTATTCATATGTTTTGTTTCTGATGATTGTCTCTGTTTACTTGATGATCGTCGTCGTCTCATTCAACTAACCACGTTCATCCTTCAAATCTGTTATATCACGTCTTCATGATATATGTCTCACAATTAATTATTAATTACTGAGTAGCATTAGTTAACCTAAGAATTAAAATAAAAAGAGTTTCTTGATTATCGAAACAAACAATAGGAAAGATCATCCAGTAGTTTCTCAATAATTAATTTTCGACTTTTTTAAAATGATTCAAAGAACAAATCGGATGGCTAAATTGTGTTCTAACAGTTACACAAACGACTATATTGAGGAATGTCATAATATCCATAACTTGGGTATCAAAATTCACAACATAGCTATTATGATATTCGCAGTATCCATATGCGGCTAAATTAATGATTTTGAGTCAGTATACTGTAACGCAATGAATACCTAACTTCATACTCATATATCTCCAAAGTTCACGATATTGAAGCAAGACTATGGAGGTAGGTCTTATCTTGATGCTCTGAACCTCACGCTCATAAACTCATTCACACCCAAAACTACAGATTTGATCTATTAAGGTAGATTTACTTCTAGAGAATCTATTAAATCATTTTTTTTGTTTAGATAAAATTCAAATAATCAATTAAAAATCTAATCGATTATAATCGATGAAAGTATATTGAAATATTTTTTTTCGAATACGATTGATATGGAATATTTCCTTAAGACTGAAAAAAATCCGGTTTCAATATATCTCAACAATGTAATTCAAATTCATTTTAATCTGATTGATGATCATAGACAAATTTTTCCATGGACATATTTTATTCAGTAACGAAAAAAAGAAACGTGCTGGTTATGAACAAACAAATTTGACGCTCATTTCACTTTCTGATCTCTTTAATTGCGAAAGCAAATGTAATTTGAATATAATTATTTGAATTAGTGGATTAATTAACTAAATTCTAAATTTAATCTTTCAACATTTTAAATGTCATTTTCAATAGAAACAGTAAAACATATCGTAGCAATTAAAGAAAAACAAAATGTGTTGTTCTATATTAGGAGTGTCATTTTCCTGGTTAATATAATTTACGCATAAATTAAATTGAAAGTAAATATACATTGACTCCTGTATTCAATACATATTTTTCATTTGCATTTGAATAATTGATGACTCATATAAACAAAAGTACCTTTATATATAGATTTGTCCTTGAATAACTATCTCTCAGGCTTTTTTACAGTCGGCTTTATATCTGACTGTTTATACGAATTCATATTAATAATTCGATGGAAAATTAGTGATGAAAAAGCCTGAAATGGAACTAAATCATCATATAGATTTTATTGATTAAAAGGTTTTATTAAGAGATTTTTCCTTATATCGGTTAAGTATCAAGGAATCATTAGTCATAATGCCATTAAATCCTGATTTACATGTATGAAAAAGATCAGCACCACTAATAAGATTTCCTGAAGGGTCAAGAAGAAGAAAACAAAATGCAGATGATGATTATTCAAGGACAAATATATATAAAGATGCTTTCTTCTATATGAGTCATTAGTTATTCAAGTGCAAATAAAAAGTATATTTATAGATCAATACGTTTCATTTTTCTTTAATTTCTACTATATGATTTACTGCTTTTCTTGAAAATAACATTTAAAATGTTGAAAGATTGAATCTTGTATTTAATTGATTAAATTTATTTAAAATAAAATGAAAAAAAAATATCAATAAATTTTTATTACTACTACTGTGAAATATTATTTGGTTATCGACATTGAATTATTTGTTCAAGCTTTATACTATAAAAATCAACTGATCACAAACATAAAGATGAAAAATGAAAAATTTGAATCATGGATAATTAAATCTAATCTTATTTTCTGAATATTATCAAATTAAAACTGTTTCGTCTTTTTTTATTATTTTAAATCTGATTAAATTTACAGTATAATCGCAGTTTTTAATCACAAAGAAATCAATTAGAATTAGATTTTTTTCGACTTTCTTTTTACATGAGTAGATCGAAATCGGAACTGGGACATCAACTGGTCCCGACACCACTGTCAAAAAACGATTGACCACGCTCATGTGTAAAACGGATGTTTGGAGTTTGGTTCGATCATGATCATAGTATTGAGCGATAAACTATCACTAGTCAAACTCTTTTGTTTTTATCGATTCTGTAAAATGAGTTTGAAAAAAATAGATGAATACGTAGTATAGTGCATATTCTGCATACCATTCTACTGATTTTTGATCGCCATTGATCAATCTATTCAAATAATACGGGGGCGAAAATAAACAAAACAAGAAAAATGTGTCTACAAAGCAAAATAAATTTATAATTTGTTTTATGCTCGATTGATTCATGTGTAGTCACGTATGCGCAAAAGCAAAACTTATTTTACGACATATATATATATATAAACAATACACTGCTTTACCGTCACTCATACAATAACGTCGATAAACTACACTTTTATTCTGGTTGTGGACACACAAAATTTTACAAGAATACAATCAGCAAAAGTACGTCTTTCGAAAGTATAGTTTTTCGAAAAGTTTTTTCTGGCCATGAGTGTTGACCAGATTTTCTGATCACCAAATCGAATCATTAAGCTTGTATACGATTGTTTTCATATTATTGTAAATGTTTTCCTTGTGATAAAAACTTTCCGACATTCTTTAAGAAATGAATAATAGAGATTAGATGCTGTAAAGCCATTCTCTTCATAAAGTATCTACAATATGGATTGTCAACCTTTTTTCTGAGTACTATCGTAGAAATGTAACCAATTGATGTTGTGTAGAAAGTAACTGCTCCATGACATTTCGTGGAAGATGTTTTTTTTTTAATTGAGTATAAGATACTCAGAATCATCGCATAGAACTAGGCTCAATGATGCATAACAAAATATTGTGTCAAAAAAATTCGACCAAATTTCCCTCCCATATAGTTTTTATCAAAAAGTTTTTTCTCAATAAAAAAAACTTGCTTTTATTGAATATGATTTTTTGAGTGTTTCTGTTCTCTCGAAAACTTCGTCATTTTGCTGTACAGTGACGATTATTTACCTGTAGTGACGTAAGATTAATATTAACACAAAAAAATCCATCAATGTAATAAATAGTATTAATTCATACGAATATCAACTCGAATTTGAAATTTCTGATCATACGAGAATCAAGTTTTGAGCTACTGTCTACTGTTATTTATTTATTGTAGAACTGGATCAATCGCGAAATGAATCGAATCGAAACAAACTCGAATCAGCGAAGCTCGGTTCGATTCGCTCTATGTGTGTCACCCATGCATTTTTTTCTGTCAAAAATTCTTTTCATACCCTATCACAGTGTCTCAAGAGCATTGCATTTTTTGTAACTCTCCCTCCTCTGCAGAGTGCAGTGACCTTTGAACAAGCTCCTAAAACATTACCAAATCTGCACGAAAGCCATAGTTTTTTTTCATTACAAAAGAATCGACAAAAGTAAAACTTTTCTCTTGCTTTTCTTTCTCCATAATAGTACGTGCTTCGGTATTTAAGATGAAAAACATGCTGTGGTATGCTCTCGTCATTACCTTGCTATTAGTAGTGAGAAATGGACAATCAGCAAAAACAAAGACTATATGTAAAAATGATGATATATATGCAATTTCAAGTGGAACATCATTTGGAGAATGTCTCGAATATTGTCGTCACTCGATTAATATAACAAATGTTACGTCTGAGTTAGTCGCATTAAAAGAATCTAATGGAGATCAAGTAAAATATCCAACTATTCGACGAAAATTCTGTTTCAATTCAGTTGAATGGCAAGAACTTATTGCTCTTCTCGACCTAGAAAAATTTAAAATGTTAAATGAGGTTCAAGGATGTCCTGATTGTGCAGATGGTGGTGCAGAATGGATTGAAGTTAATTGGTCAAAGAAAAGTAAACGTGTAACATTCGAACATGAAGCATTAGTCGCTGGTATTGAAGAGCTTATTAAATATTTGCGCGTACTCAGAGAGAAATATTTCAAATATTTATGAATAAAAATAAATAAATGATCATGAAATTGATCAAAACAATAAAAGATCACACCGATATGTTGAACATTTCAATTCATAATCATTATCGATATAGACACGATGTAGACATGTTCAGGAAAGTTTCACAATCGAAAATTATTTCTTTTGTTCATTTCTAGTCATAATATAGCAACGAAGAATCTTGAACTTTTCCTAGTTCGTTTGAAACAAATACGAATTTTCTGATGGTAAATCTTTTAGTAAACCTCAGAGAATGTGAGTGTAAATGTAGCGTGAAGAAAAGGCACACACCTACTCTTTCAATTGAATGTTGATTTATATAATTCATCCTACTAAAATAATATAGTCTTTTAATTGTGTCTGGATCCTCTATTGATCCTTCATTGAACAATTTTCAAAAAATCCAAGACAAAAATAAATCATCTTTCAATTCTTCTTTCGATTCAAATGATGTTTATTGTTTCTCGAACTAATATCAATTAAAGTACGAGTTTATTCTTATAATGTTACATCCATTTTATAATAATTATA